GACTCTAAATCTTATATTCATGTTATGAAATCAACATTGCGTGGTCTTCTTGCAATTATTATTATGTTTTAAACAAAGTTAGAGTTGAATACCCATGAAATCTCTTTTTCTCGATTTAAAATCCCTAGTTTTTGAGAAATATAGGTTTCTCCCTCTACATTCACTTAAATTTAGTTTTGAAAACTTTAGTGTTTTGTGTTGAGTATCAAAATGATATTGATGATGATCTCTTGCATTTTCTTCAATTGTTCTATTGAAATACTACATGTGAAATTGGAGATTTATGGAATTGTTTGTTATTTGAGAAAATTGTTGGTATTGTATCTCTTGTGTGGTTATTGGATAAACATGGGCTACTATTGACCGGGTATCGTGGAGTGTGTAGACGCCTTCTTATTCAGTGTGGGTTTAAACTTTTCCTATCACTCGTAGTGAGGTTAGTGCTTTGCGAGGACTAAACCATTATCGCTCATGGGGTATCGTGGAAAAAGGGTTAGTATACTACTCCTAGGTTGGATACGTCACTGCCATGGTGTTGGCATACGCCCTTCCTAAAGGTTGGATATCCTTGTGAGGATTTGTGTGGGTTGTACGTGAACCAGGATATTTTGGATGGTATTCATGCGAGATCTTACTTCAGACTAGAGATACGAATACAGTGGTGGGTTATTGTTTATTGTACCAGAAATAGTTTATACAAGAATTTTGGGAAGTATGAGATTCCGCAAGAACTTGGGAGAAACGGTTTATGGTGGAATGGATTATTAGTCGTATATGAGTTTCTCTTATGCATTAAATTACTTTTTTTTTGGGGGGGGGGGGGAAGGGGACTTGAACTCTTGACCTCAAGAAGGCAAAGCCTTCACAAGGCAAGGAGTACCATTAGACCAAAGGCCCATTGGTTATGCATTAAATTACTACTATTGCTTAAACTTGAGATATGTTTAATATGCCCTGTTTTATTTCAAAATTCATATATACTATTTGTGAAAGGTGACCGACCATTTTTATATGTTTTTCTAAAACTTGTTTGAGTTTGGAAGGATTTTCCTACTGAGCTTAGTGCTCACCCCCTACATCCGAACACTTTTCAGATTATATACTAGAGGAGGAGTTGGGAGTTGATGAACCAGCACACTAGGAGACTCCCATAGATGGGCATGTTGATCCTTAGGTGGACGCTTAGAACAACATTACCTTATATTCTAGACTAGAAAATTTATTTTGAAAATATTGTGAAGTCTAAACTCTTTTGTTATTTCGCTGCAAGTTAAATTTGATTCTTTTGGATGTAATTGCTATGGTTGGACATATTCTTTTGGGATATTTTAAATATTAGATATGATGAATGAATTTTTAATTATTGATGGATTATATTAGTTGCTCTCATGATGTGAATGATTTTAAATTGTAATGCCGTCCAAGGTGGTTTTTGGGGCGTTACAGTAACAACATCCTCCAATCTTGAACAAGGTTTAGAAAATATATAAAAAATTCGGTCTCACTTTCCAAAATATCATATATCACTTGAAATAAAACAGTGACAATTTATTCGATCTCAAGTTAATACAATAGCAATAAGTTAAATGAAAGTAATAAACATGTGAAGAGATCAATTAATCATTCAATAGCATCATTCCATATTCTCATATATGTTGGTTGCTTCCCATGAATCTACATGACGATTTTACCTCATTCACCCATTATAACCACACAAACTACTTTAGGAAGAGCATATACTGTCTCCCACGGCCTTGACGAATCCTTCCAAGGAAAGATATATCATCCCTCAGCCTCAAACTTATGTAAACAATAGTGGTTGCATTCACAAACAACAATCCACTACAAGTGTTAGACAACCATCTCACCCCCACTGGGATAGACTAACCTCTAACATTCTACTGCAGTTCTCGAATGCAATTCAAGTCCATCACAACAAACCATACAAGATGCAAGAGATGTAATACCAACCAATTTCTCAAATCACTAGTAAATCAAAAACCCCCAATTCCATAAGAATTTCTCAAGTCACAAGTAATTTCAAAAATCCCTAATTTCATATGTATTTTGCCAATATAACTTCTCAAGAAAATAAGCAAGAGATCATCAAAAGACATACTTTTATTGTTCAAAATAAATCACTTAAGTTTTTGAATCAAGAGCACAAGAATATCAAGAAGAAGATTTCATATTTCTCAAAATCTAGGTTTTGACATCAAGAACGAGGGTTTTATGGCCATCAACCATAACTTCACTCAAAACATGGTATAGTTGCAATAATATCAAGAATCAAGGATTTTATAACATATATATATGATTAAGAGTCAAAATATATGTATATGTAAGACCTAGCATCAATGAACAAGAGTGGAAGAAAACTCCTACCTTTTTTTTCCTTAGTGTTCTTGAAAAACTTGAGATTTTGATCCACTTCAAGATGAAAATTCCTCTTGATCTTGTGTTTTCTACCCTTATTTCTTGTTTCTCAAGGCTTTCTAGGGTTGTAAATGGTGTATAGAGGCTAAAGGAGGCACCCTTATGTATTTATAGGGGAAGGAAATAGCTCAGCCGACATAAATCTGATGTTCTGATTCGTCGCTCACGTTCGAACGTTAGTTACTCCCAATACTTTTGTTTTTCCATTAGAGACAAATTACTAGAATGCATTGTCGTTCGAACGGACTTTCACGTTTGAACGTAGGTCGTTCGAACATACTTTCACGTTTAAACGTACTTCCTATTTCTGTTGAAACTTCCAATGAAGTTTTGGCCTATTTAAAGGTCGATTTGAAATTTTTTTGCAATATACTTTTGTAGCCCTGGAAGTCTACTAGCTACTGTAAAAATTTCAGCTCAAATGGAAATTAGGGTAAAAAGGTATGGTCCAAATACTAGGTAATGTCCAAGATTATTTCTACCCAAATTTATCTAAACTGTGTTTGAACTTCAGACTACTTCCTAACTTCCAATTCATACCCTATTACCTCACCTAACATTTTTTTTCTACATTTACAATCCACGTAGTTTATGCATACATTATCACATATATTAGTATTTCAAAAATAATTACGTTGCTATCCAAAGATAAGAATGTGGGGGTTTACACTACCTTTGGGAAATAGGGGTGCCCCTTGTAAGGCCTTACCTTTAGGGAAAAAGAGTAACTTTGTTAATAATATTTTGGGAAATAGGGGAGCCCACTATAAGACCTTACCTTTAGGGAAAAAAGAGTGCCTTCTTTAAGTATATTTCTTCTTATGCTTTAAAAGAATTTTTAATAAAAATTCATTATGAATTTATCAAATTTTGAGTTTGTTGAACCCATCCTATTGCTAAGGCAGGAAAGCAAAAATTCTAATAGAGGTAGAAGCCTAAATCAAGCGTAGCTGCCTAATCAAATCCAGGCCCAAGGTTAGGTATGATGATGTAAATCAAACGGGTAGTGATCTGAATTGGATTGGATCAACGGGTTGATGCGTGCACGAAAATAAACTCTTTGAAGAAAGGCCCAAGAGGACCAAGTCTTCTTAGAGAGATTTCCAAGTATTGTAGGGTCCCTAGCTAAATACTAAGGATCAAAATCTTTGAAGAAGAGTCGAGTAAATGGCCATAACTTCTTAGAACAATTTTTTTTTTTTCAAGTATGGTAAGGTCCCCAACTAAGTTTTAAGGACCGAAATCTTTGAAGAAGGGATGAGTAAATGGCCATAACTTCTTAGAACACAATTTTTATTTTTAAGTATTGTAAGGTCCCTAGCTGAGTGCTAAAGACCGAACTCTTTAAAAACGGGTCGAGTAAATGACCATAACTTTTTTAAATAATTTTTTTCTAAGTATTGTAAGGTCCCTAGCTAAGTGCTAAGGATCGAACTCTTTCAAGAAGGGCTGAGTAAGGGCCATAACTTCTTAGAACAATTTTTTTTTTCTAAGTATTGAAAGGTCTCTAGCTGAGTGCTATTGACCAAACTCTTTGAAGAAGTGCTGAGTAAATGACCATAACTTCTTAGAAGAAATTTTTTTTTCTAAGGATTGAAAGGTCCCTATCTAAGTGTTAAGGACCGAACTCTTTGAAGAAGGGTCGAGCAAAGGGCCATAACTTCATAAAACATGAAAATCTTTCCGAGTGTTGAAAGGTCCCTAGCTAAGTGCTTTTGGCTAAACCACTACAAGCAAAACAAAGAAGGAAGAATGCAAATAAGCTTGTTAAAAAGGATCTTCCATAAATACATCAAAAGGGAAGAGGGTTACACTTATAAAAAAAAATTGGTGAAGCAACTATTTGTCAGGAAAGAGGCGATTTGGAGTAGCTCACAGCTGAATAACAAAAAATAGCTCAGAAGATAGAGGCACATCCACAACTGTCAAGGCAACAAATCAACCCTTAGAGAAATATACCTTCTCCAGAGAAGGAATTTGTAGAGCCAAATCATTCTCCGCTTTCTCCATACCCTGATAAAAGGCGGCATCCTCCAAATCTTTAGATTCAGCTTTGAAAGACTCAAATTCCTCCAAAAGTGTAGAGTGCTCTAGCTGAATTTGGGTAAGCTTGATGTTGATTGCAAACTCTAACGCCATTAAATCTGCCACCTTAGCAACAAGCCTATTTTTTTCTTTAGTCAAATCTAATGTTTGAGCATGTACAATCAACGTATCTTTGCAAAGGTTGTTGTATTCTACATTAGTGTTTTCCTTCTTAGTCAAAGATGCCATATGACTATAGCAAGCTTGCCTCATCGCCTTGTCCTTTTTTATAATCCTCGCCCTGACTTCATGAACCTTCCCTTCAAATCACAAAGAAAGAAGTGAATGAAAAATATATGAAAAACAAACCATCTTCCGAAGGGGAAAAAAGGGAGATGTAAGAGAATACCAGAACCATCGGCTGGATAGCTTGCTGAGTAATTTTATTGTCGGACATCGCCTCGTTTGCAATCAAATCATGAAGAAGAATCACTCTTTTGGCAATACTGACTGCCACATTGAAGTTTTTAGCAACAAAGTCACAAATAGGGGCAAAAAAGGGGAATGACAGACTCTGGGGGAAGAAGAGTGTCAGGCTCTAACACTTTGTGTTTCTTAGGGGCATGATCATGAGACAGGACCAAGATAGCTTCCTTTTGATCGGCTGGAGAAGGAGTTGGCTCTAAAGTAGTAGAAGAGAGTTTGGATTGGATGATAGAAGTCTCGGGGTTGAATTCTATCGAAGCCCTAGCCGTATCATCTGCAGACACCTTATAATGCATAACCTACTTTGCCTTGGCAAGTTCTTCTCGAGTAGGTCCTTTGGGATTGGAAGAGGTTTAAACTTGAGCAGTAGGTATTTCAATCGTACTTAAGGAAAACAAAAAAAATGAGGAAGTTCCTCACTGACCTATTCCATTCAGAAGGGCCAACCGAAGCCTTCTTGCGAGATTGAGGAGTTTGATCCCAAACAGCTTGGATGGCTTGTCGATTGTCAGCAAGAGTGCCATTGGGAGGAGAATGAACAACAGTAAAAGACATGTAGGTTGGTGTGCAATTGAGCAAGGTGTGAGCATCTCGGTAGAAGAAAGATTCGCTGAAGCCCCATAACTTATTCATGTTGTCCATTTTCATGGATTTCTCAGGGATCCTTCACTTCACAGTTTCACCTACAAGGGACATACCCAGTCATGATAGGAAAGACAAGTTTAAAGAGAAATGTTTTTTAAAAAAAAAGAGGCATATCGTCAGTCACCTGGTGCACCTTCTTTATAAGGGCATCGATAGGAAGGAATTTCACCAATAGCATATTCCAAGTTACCAGAAACAAAGACGACGTCATTTTCATAACCTTTGTTGCAGTCTGGGAGGTGGATCACCAAATAGCGGTTCTTCTTCCTCACTGCAAAATAGTAATTGTCTCCAGTAGGTTTGATAATATAATAGATGAGCATCTCCTAGAGACCTAGACTCAAATCCAAAATCTTGTTAAGGGCAGCAACGCCCATTACAATCATAAATAAGTTAGGATAGCATTGAATAGGACACAACTTCAATGCTGAAAGCACCCATAAAAGGAGAGGATGAAGAGGGAAACGAACACCACTTTCGGTGATGGCTCAAGTATGGATGGGGATGCTCTCTCTGGTACCAATTAGAGGTTCATCTATACCAGCAACACGAATTTGGACATCATCGGGAATATAGTACTTGAATTTGAAAGTAGGTATGTTTGAAGGGGTGAGAGAAGCCATTTTAGAGAGGTCAAATCCAAAGCAACAAAGAGAGAGTCACAAGAAGAAAAATGAGTGAAGAAGAAAGGAAGGTTTGCACCCCTTATAAAGCATGGACCTAATGAAATGACTAAAGCCCAAAGAAAAAATATTTAATGCAAGACATGCTGTCAGAACACAGTGCATGTCTTAAGGATGCATGCAATGATTAACTTAGGAGCATGAAACGGTTGCTAGACGAAAAAACGCCTAGCACGCGTTTCTTAGGGGCAAGTGAAAGGGCATAAAAATTGTGCCATGTGTAAGGAGCAGTTAATGCACTCACGTAAGAATGATGAGACATATCACATGGGGGAACAATGAAATAGAAGCAAAATCAAACAGTGAACACTCAATTCATGATGCCGACCCAAGTCATAAAGAGCTCGGTTTTGATAAGACCAAGCTCCATTCAGAACAACATCAAACTACGAGAATGCCTACAACAGGGGGATTTAGGTATAATTAATAAGCGTAATTATCGGCTCGGGAAGAGTTAGTCAATAGAGGAGCGTTTGGAGAGATTTCAGCAATCCCTAACAAATATCCCAGATTGATAGGAGAGGTTCCACCTTGTATCATCAATTAGGGAAAACCTAATGAGGAGAAACACACTATATAAAGGGTCAAGTCTGCACAGTAAAAGGTACACACAACCTTCTTTGCATACACATTTCTTTCATACATTTATTCACTTAAGCATCAGAGTGCCTTTGACCAAGGCACTTCGGTCCTAGGTAGTTTGTTCGTTGTGTAGGAAGGAGAAGGCAGGATACATGAATCATACTCGTCAACTCGTGTGAGAGGTGAATCCATTTTCATTGCTTACACCATGCTAATGATAGTAGACTTCAAGCTTATAGCGTTTTATCATTGAATTTCCTCCACCTTGGTCCATGTAGTTGGTAATAGAACTCTGAAGGTCGATTATTGGTTGCAGGCCCTATAATTACATGGCCAACATGTATTCAAGGGTATGAATGTTGATAGGCTCATCGAGGAAGTCACGCCTTCATTTATATCACGTTGCACCATTATAATCTGTGTAGCATCCATAAGATAGTAGATTGTTTAAAGACAAACTTTCACACTATTGTGAACTTTGACGTTAGTGTCTTCCATTGAGATTTGGGACTTGTTTGACAAATGGAAATTTGGTTGTAGGAGGACGAGTTATCGTTAGTTCGACTAGAAGACCTATCTGATGATCTTCAGTTTGACTAGAAGACCTATCTGATGACCTTCAGTTCGACTAGAAGACCTATATGATGACCTTCTAGGCATTTTATTATAAGGTTTACATTGTGAAGTCTTAATACACACACACACATTGTTTCCAACAGTTTCTCATTGAAAAGACTCATTAGAAATAAAAAATTTATCCAGAAACCTCCGAAAAAGTAATAACTTTATGCAAAATTGATAAATTGAGATATTCAATATATCACTGACAAACACTACGATAATTCAACACTGATAGGAAAATATGTATGATTTACGTCACACTGATAAATTGACATATAGCACTGACAAACTAAGTTAACTAAGCACATAAAACTGACCATATTGAGATGACTAAACACTGACATGACTCATCTCTAATGACTCATTACTGTGATTGTTGCCCCAAGGGGCGTGTGATAGAATGAGATGTATCGAGTAACGCCTATCAGGTAGCCGAGATGAATCGAGTATGAAACCAATGGCAAATCAAAAGATTGGAGTATTGAGTTTCATGCGATTGGTCAAATGTATTTGTGTTTGTGAAATAATATTATTTTAACTCGTGCTTTCGCAGTTGATTATTGGTGGTTGTTCGATTATCGTTTGACCGTGAATTCTGTATCTTATGTTGTAAGTTAGTTACTGGGCTTCCCAAGCTCACCCCCATTTACCCCTCTTAGATGCAGGTTGAAAATTTATGAAAATTCGAAAGATGATCGGGTCGATGGAGGAATTAGAGACTTCGAACTATTAATTCATTGGTGAAATTTTCACAATTTTGAGAGTAGTTTGGACCATTGTAATGATTTCTAAAGACTGAATGTTTCTATCTTTTATTGATTGAGGATTTTAGTGCTCTGTATGGATTGATATTGATGGTAATTGAGTTCTCGCACCAAATCCAAAGAGCTCGGGTTCGAGGCGTGACAACAATGGTGAACGAGTGAGAATATCTTTGAAGGCAAAGGGATATTTTGAGTAAAGATCTACGGATTTGCAATATATGTAGGTCTGGCCAACTCGCCATTGGCATGCCCATTGATACATCTTAGCAACTACAAAGAGCATTATTACGTTTTCATGTAGAAAACAATTGCATGGTCCTACGTTTGAATAGGCACACCTGGCAATTGCATGGCCGAACATTTGAATAGGTACAACCTACAATGTATTGCATGTGAGCATGCTGAGGAAGGGTCATTGGTGGTGGTGATTGTTGGTGATTATTGCCATTAGCGGTGGTGGGTTTTCGGATTAGGGCTCATAGAGAATAGGGGAGAATCAGAGAAGAAGAAAATGGATAGCTAGGTACGTTAAAGATGCCAAAGACGTCAGTAGTAAAGACGCGTTTGAAAATTTTAACAAACAAATGTCTCTTGCTTTTAAAAAATTTAACATAAAAACGTCATTACTACTGACATTTTTAGTGCAGAAGACGTTTTTGGACAAACATTTTTAAAAACTGTCTCGGTTTGGGTAATAGTTTTAAAACTATCCCATGGAAATATTTTTGCCAAATCAGCCAGGTTTGGTAAAAATCATTGAATATAATATATTGCTATGATACATACACAACGACATAGAAAAAGCTAGAAAAATAAGGTACGAGGATTGTCAACATACATCTATAACATATTATAGTAATAGTATCATCTAATGATTCAATTGCTATAAGTGTTAGTAAAAACTTTAATAACAATTTGAAATATAATTGATTTCGTTCAAAAAAATCTGTATTCCCAATGTGGCATACCCACACCCGCAAAGTAATTTGGCTAACTAAAGAAATCAAAACAGACACTTCACTAGTTGAGTTACTTATAATTTGTTGTTGCCAAAGATTGGATATAATCAACCAATTGGGTTGTTCAATGAAAGTAGGGAGGATTTTTTTAGATTTTTTAGATTCTAGACATATCTAAAACGAAGAAATATTGATACAGATTCTTCAATCTAAATGCATCGTCTGACACCATACCGTCCTAGATTTTGGAAGATTCCAAGGCGGAGGTTAATTGCTTCAAAGGTTGTTGACCTCAGACAATTTAAGGAGCCAAGACCCGGAGGGGAAGTCAATACACAATAAAGAATAATGAAATGGACCATGTTTACTATAGAGTGGACGTCTAGTGAGTTCATTTGAGTTCTCTGTTGTACTCAAAGCCACCATTTATGGGGCTTGAATCAGAGCATTATAGCTTAGTTAGAGTGGAGTTGGTTAAATCTGGACTTTCTTTTCGGTAAAACAGTATAATCTTAAACAAAATTCTCCCTTATATATATCGTATGGAAATGTTGTTGTTTTTAAATTTTTGGGTTAGCTTCAGTTATGCAAACATGTGCATTTTAGTAGCAGGAGGTTGCGCCTGATTCTTTGTTCTTGTTGATTGATTATTTACAGGAACAAAAGTGGAATTGATTGAAAGATGGGTGGTTTAACATAAATTGATAATGCAAGATGAAATCACAGTGGAGAAAATTGGTGCCCGTGTCTGCTGTTATGAGGGATTGTCTACTCTTTGTTTTACATGGTAGTTTTTGGTCATCCATAGCAAAAATAGTTTTTCAGAAAGACAATTAGGACTGTTTTGCGGCTTTAATAGAGGCTATCAGATCTATCCTTCATCAATTATAGCTGTTGGTTTAGTACGTGTAATCAGATTTCTCATTACATTATTTGTAATTAGATTTCTTATGTAGTCAGAACATAAGATGACAAGGGAATGTTATCTAAGCTCAATGAAGTAGAAAGAGATCGATATAC